TTTATTTTATTTTATTTTATTTTATTTTATTTTATTTTATTTTAATTTAATTTAATTTATTTTATTTTATTTTTTTTTATTTTATTTTTTTATTATTATAATTAAAAACAATGACATTCATAAACAGCGGTCAGTGCACAAGCGCCTCTCAATCGTCGCACCATTAAACCACAAACTCTGTTGACGCCAGCTGCGACACGTTGCCCATTTTCTGTTGCGCGCAATAAAAATGCAATGAAAATGCCATTTTTTCTCGCAGTCAAAAAATAGTTACCAACACGATGCCATTGCATTTACGGGTGAATAAATATGCGGATATTTATATGAATATTTTAAATGGGCGTTGTCGCAGTGGAGCAGATGGATGCGACGGTTACTTCAGTGGTATTTAAATATTTTATACCTACTTTAGACATAAAAATAATAATTTCAAAGTGACGCAGTTTTCGTAACGTGTGGGTATAAAGATGCCGAAAGTTTCATTTTGTTCTCCAACTTTAAGTGAACTCCGTTCCTGGTGTTGGGAACGATTTAATGTCGCTGAAAATTAGACGCTTGATTCTACTTTGTATCACAAAGTGAAACGAAAGAGGTCCGTTAGGTTGGGACCAGTATAAATCGAAGCACACTCTGTTGACAATGGATCACATTAGTGTTTCGGTGGGAAAATATGGCTGACTGTAAAAACAGCCTTATGCGAGGCTAACTATATTTATGATTTTCACCCTTCCGAAAGCTACCGCTACATGGTAAACCGGGGTGTATCAATTTTGAGTAAACCAGCGTCCTTAAATTTCGAAATATTGAAGTTTCAAGCATTGTGAAAAGCGGCCGTAATTTTAGTCCGATTTCAATAATTTTCAACGGTTTGCTTTTAAGTGGCAAGCACAATAACCATACCGAGTTTGGTACAAATTGCCCCGCCATTTTTCAAAAATTTATAATATTCTTATTTTTCGTCTAAAAATTATTGTAAATATCAATTTTGAGTGAGTAATTCAGTAGTTATTAAAATATCACAGTTTCCGCTTAATCGATTTCTATTTTCATTCTGATCATTTATATATACATTTCTCTATATCTATCTCGATTCGTTTTGCCTGTTACAAACAACCGTTATGTGAACGAAGTTATAATACCCCTGTGCGCAAGTGCGCTCGGGTATAAAAACTTCGATCGTAGGGAAAACGGCAACACTGGTCTTAGCACGTGCCGCTCAGTAACCACCTCCTTTACTCGTCGCGATTTGTTCTACACTAGGGTGGTCCAAAATAAGTAAAGTCAGAAATTTTAGTGCCCTCACACCCTAGGATGGTTCTATATCGAAAAAAGTATACCCCATTTTTTTATTTTGAAATCAAAAAATATTTACAGGGAAATGGTATGGAATTCTTGAAAATCAATATTTTTCGATCGGAAAACTCTGGTTCTCTTCAGGAGACTTCCAATAATTGGGTTTTATTATACAAAATACATGGAAAACTTTGAGCGGCCTCTAAATATTTTTTGATCAAAATAAAAAAATAGGGGTATACCCTTTTCGATATGGAGCATAAAAATTCCGACTTTACTATTTTGCATGCATTTTTGGACCACCCTATTCTACAATCCGCAAGTGGAGGCCACTGAAGTTAAGTAGCTGTTAGACGTGGCAAGTGGCAAAATTCATAATTTCAGTTGCAGTTACACCTTGCAATTTTTATTTCGGAAAGTGATTTTTGCAAATCTCCAAAAATTACTTTCTGGCTGTTTACACGGGAAAGTAGACTTTCGATTTCGCATTTTGACAGCGAAACGCGTAGAAAAAGCGCTTGTATTGCCATGTTTCACCACACCTTTAGGTTTGCCCGTTGCAATGTTGCCATGCTCGCAGCTTTAACTGTAAATTACAGGTTTTTAATTACCTGCTCGCACAAATTACAGAAACAAAAGTGCAATTTGAACCAATCGTGGCTAAAAAAAAAATTCGAATTTTGGGCAACATTTTCACGCGCAATTAATTTCAAAAATATCATTGCTAAAAAGTTTATGAATGCCACAATTTGCGCTGGCTTATCAGTCGTAAATAGGCACACGCGTAGGCTCCGAAATTTATCATGAAAAGTGTTAAAGAGTTTCATAATAAAAAACGTAACATTGTCTAATCAGCATGAGGTCGAGGGCAATAGGAAGCAAATGGTAAGATTATTTATGTACATATCCGTATGTAATGTGTAAAATTTCACACCAAATGCGTTCGTTGCCCTTCCAAGCGTTTGTATTTGCGCCAATCAATTTTAAAGGCGAAAAAAAAAAATCGTTGGGTGGAAAATTCGCAATAAATTGAACTACAATAATATCTACTCGTAACTTGGTTATTTATGGCACCATGGGGATAACCAAAGGCACAAATGAGTGGTTGGTTAGGCGTTCACACAAACGCATGTACATACATACATATGTACATATGTCAGTAAGTGTCGCTTGATACAAATGTGTGGAAGTAAAAGCGCGTACAAATTGCCCCTAATCGCAATTGGAGATTGGGAGCAGATCCGTGTTGGTCTGCAGCAACGCTACATGTTTAGGAGCAAGCCCCCAGCCCAGCCTAGTCGCCGAAGAGTTGTGTTTATTAAGTGGAAAGTTTTATCTCGTTTTGATGTGGGCCATACGCACTTTCTTTCGTTGATTGCGGGTGAGAGTGTTTGCCTGTGCATGACGATGATGTATTGTAGAAAATGTGTAACTGGTGCGTTTTAATAGATTTATGGTGATGTCGTTTCTTCTAAAAAATTGTTGCCCTTCTGCGGTGCAAAATGTGTTTTATTGTTACACTCAACCCTGTAAATGGGCAATGCTGACAATGCTTCAAAGGGCAGAGAATTTTAAGAAACGAACACAAAATTTTCTCATCTTTTTTTTTTTTTTGAAACGAACACAAAAAGATAAAGGGGCAATCCAAAGTTGATTTTTTTTTGGGTAGAAACGAAAACGCCATTAGCTTATTAAAATGTCTGTATGTGTATGTCAAAAAAGTCAGAGTGAGCTCAGACCAGCTATTCCTCGGTACGCGACCAGTTATAATATTCCACCTTCGGCCATCAGAGGCACCGTCAGAAAGTGTGTGAATAATATGCTCAGCTACTCAGACTGGGAGCCTTTGGGGCGGATGCAAGTGGGCAAGGTCATGTTGCCCTCAATCTCGGAGGACCGCGCTAGGTTTTTGCTTTTATTGAACTCATTACTTTACGTGGCACAAACATACATGACAACCCAATTCGCTCTTCTTGGCTTGAATATGAGGATTTATGTGTCTCTGCCCCGCCTTTGCAAGGATAAAGTATGAGGCTTTTGGCAGCGATAAGTTGATTAACGAACACCATTCTGCCTAGAGGTCTGATTTTGGAAATGTCCAATAGGTCAATTTATTAGGGGTAAGGTTAGGTTAGGCTGAATAGGCACGACGTGGCTCCGCATAAACCATTAAAATCCATACTGCCTCCATATTCGGCAGAAAGCCCGTTACCAGTAGACTAATCCGTATTGTTCTAAGGGCAGATCACTCACAGAGGATGGGTTCCTCTTTCTACTCATTCGTTCCACATCTCCTAGCAATTTTATCTTCTTCCGTGGAAAGCCAACCAACAGTGGCCAGTATGTTATTTCGTTCTTACATTGTCCTTACCCCTGGCAATTACGTGATTTGGGAGACGGCTTTTATGTCTGCTTGATCGTGCTGATGGGGAATGTTGAACATAGGAGCTTCATGCTAGGGTGACTGACTCGGTTTTTCCAAACGGGTTTCCACCCGTTTTTTGAATATCTTTAGGCAGTTTTTTGAAGTCTTGATATTTCGATTAGCGAATAAACTGGATTTTTTACCGAGTAACCTCCGAAGAAGCTTTTTTATAGCAGAAGTACACTCGGAGGTTTACCATTGTCTGCGCCGAGGCCGACCGCTATTTGAAAGACCTCTAAGCACTCGGCTACGGTGGAAAAAGCAATACTCAAATCCGAAAAAAGACAAAAAAAAAAATGGAATAAAGTATTAAATAAGCTAAAATAAGACCAAACCTGAACAGCATCTTTCTTTCGGCCCACCTACACATTCAGGTAGTTAGGGGTTACCTCAGATCTCTGATTCGAGCAACATCTAAAATTGCAGAGGCAGTTATTATCTTGAGACCTCACAGTCGTCCCGATTGATTCATAGTATTTTGTTATGGTTGTGGTATTCTTTATTAGTGGAACAGAAATCGGTGGGAGTATAGAGTTATCCCATTCGCTAATTTGCAATTCTCATCGGCTATTTCGTTCTCGTCGATATCGCTATGTCCAGGAACCCAGCAGAGAAAGGTTTTGACGTGACTCATTTGCGAACTTCTTTCGACTTTACTACCTTGGAACGTAATTTTTGCAATGCCGCCTAGCTGTCAGCAAATAAAGTGACGTTCCGTATGAGACAAGCCCTTTTCTCTATGGCAAAGACCTGCGCCTGAAAGACACCACAGTTATCGGGCAGGCGATGTGATTGCGTTATTTAAATGTTCTTGCAGCGCATAACCGAGTCGACTCCCTTTTCCATCTTTGAATCAGCAGCGCCACCTTTCCAATC